GAGGTTATTCCGAGTTGACTGGGTTGCCACATGAGAGAGTAGCGTCAACCCGAGAGCTCAGAACTATACCCGATCCTTCGCCGTATATGAACTGGCCTCCTCGGCATAGCTTCCACTATAACCGGGTAAGGTTTCTCAGTCATTTGATCTGGGCGCCGTTATGGAGCTCTCAATGCCCATGGATCTGACACGTGTGGTGAAAGCGAGAGCTTTTTCAGAGCTACAAAACAGTTTGCAATTCACCGAAGACGGGCATAGTAAGGCAAGTACCAACCCAAGACCGTTAAGCTGTATGTTCATTTGTGAGGCACGGTGACGGCGGTGACGTTACTAAGCTTATGCTCTCTCAGACCGTTTCCATCTTGATCGTATCACCTATTTTGAAAATGGGTTGCGTGCGATGTTCACTAGCCATTGGACATTTCAAATGCTATACGCTTCCAACTTCCAGATCCGAACAAATTTCGAAATCACACCAGATGCAGACCACATCTTCTCGCTAATGTGACCAAGTTTCCTGAGAGCGTCTGTTACCTGGTTCTCCACAGAACCTTAGCAATTTATGTAAACCTCAGTTCTCATGTCAAAAGTTATGCAGACCACATAGTGAATTTCGCGAATTCAGCTCCTCATTTGCCCATGTGAATCGTGTGGTGTTGATTTGTGTGTGTGCTTGTATGCTTTCCGCACTCACCAAATCGTATACGCCCCTTGGCTGTCCTCGTTTCACAAGGAGGCGACTTCCGCAGGCGCTCTCTTCTGCGTATGCTAATCTTCTATCCGCTCCCACGATTTGCATGACGCATCCTTTTAACGACCTTGAACTCTGTCCGCATCTTTGTCATGGTCATGTGGCCCATGCGTGTTCATTCGGACACCTGGTTTCACATAGGGCGTTGGAACGAGGGCAGACGCGGCCGAGCCAGGCCATAGGGCGGATGATTGAACTCGACCGGTAATGCCTTTCCACCCTTGGGGTCAAGTCGCGTTAATCTGTGACCTGTGTTATCATCACATGCAATGCCAATCTTCGCCATTGTCCAGAACTAGGCTAATTACAATGGGTCTTAGCGCTTAGAATTAATCGGTTTCCTCCGTTCGAGCACCCTAAGCTTTCTATGTATACCTTTAGCATCTCACGTTTGCGCCCCAGCTGTGCAGACCAAATATTTACAGGGAATTCACTGCGCCATCTTTTATTCGCCGATTGCAAATACGCCCACTGTTGTCCGTTTTTTACACACTTTCTCCTCAAGTTCCTAGCCGGACTTGTAGCGGGTTCGGACGTCGATTATCTAAGCAAACCATTTTAGGCCGCTAAATCCCACACCAATTGAAGCTGTATGACCGATCAACTGGAAATCGAGTAACCTCTGCCGCTGGTCACATAATTTGTTCAACTGATAGTGGGCATAGATTAGAACTCCGGCTGATCCTCTATTATGTCAATGATTTATCTTTCACTGTAATTCTTTTCGCTTTCTTGTTTTTTTTCGAAACACATTTTCTTCCTCCATTCCGGAGTGTTTCCAATCGCAAAAGGAATTTCCCCTCTATTTGTACAATTGCACTCAATAGGACTGAGTGACAAATGTTCACTTTTTTGTGGCCTGCGAACTTTCACTCCTCCGGTCCTTAATTTTATCAGTCCACTGGCAGTGCGCTTCACCTAACCATCACAATTCTCTGACGGACCGGCCCGCTTTGGGCTTCCACTGCTTGTTGACATACTTCGTCGACATATTGTACTGGCTCCTAGCTCAACTACCGAAACTACTCTCAGATGGATGCATTTACCATCCGTGAAAACCACCCAACTGAATTAATCAAATGGCATGTTGGTGTCGGAAAACTCACTGGCCTTGATATATTGAGATAATTTCATTTTATGCGTTATGAACCTCCCTCCCAATTTTCTTGGATCTTGCGATGAGCTGCAATCAAACGGGTATATGCTGCTGGTCGGCTATTGTTCGACCGTATTAGCGCCAATACTCGGGGGAACATATCAAGAAACAGTTGTCTTTGGTTTTGAATTCCAATGAGGCTACTGCTTTTGGAACTCGTTACTTCAGACTGCATATTAGCGCTCTACTTTCGCTTGTCAACTTCAGTCGGCGCACCCCAAACTGATAATCACAGGCACCCGACACTAAGCGACCATCGTTCACATGTTGCTGAAATTAATATACGGCTTCTGTCTAGAAGGTCGAGAGTAGCGGTTTATGGTCACTAGATCGGAAAAAGATTTTACGTCAAAAGTGAATCGTTGCCCAGCAAATACGCTAGCCGGTTACTAAATCTTTCAAAAATCAACCGCTAAAGCCAAAGTGTCTTACATTCGATTCGCTGACGTTAATTATGCCGAAAACTAGAAAGTCCACACTCATTCCGCAACAACCACAACTACTTTCGTCTGATTTGGACACTCACACTGCGGGCCCCTGATCACCTGTTTTCAATTCTTTCATGTTTGATATGCGATTTCCCTAGACACACTTAGCTTCGCTTCCATGTTTGTCACAGATTGTAGATTTTCGTTTTTTTTCTACAGGGCTGCTGGATACTGTCCTTCGACTGGATTGAGACTTGTGCCCATGTGAAAATGCGGGTGGAAGAAGAAGGCTTTGAAGTCACTGGATGTAGTGCAACTCCCTTGTCCGGGGCCCCTCGGCGTGCTCGGCTTGCACGCGAGGCAGGTTCCCTCGGACTCTTTCATAGATTCCGCTTTTGTTTCTTGGTGAGATCTGTTGCACCTTGATCAAGCAGCTCATTTGTCGTATACGCGGCGTTACATATTTCTGATTTTCCGAAGACTTAAAACCACCATGATCTGTGTGTAGGTTCGTCTGTTGTTTCTGTGTTTTACTCTCGAGGTCCTTTGTTCTGAGATGTGCACATCACCTATCTTCCCTCTAATCACTTTGTAGTTGTTGTCTTACTTCTCCAGTGACGGTCATCATCTCAACATCCTTCTCTTCCTTGCCAAGTCCGATATAATTCTCCCATAAGCCGCTACTTTTATCGATTCCTAAATCCAGCACTGGGATTCATCGCCAAACGTCATTTGTTAGATGACTCATCATCTTCCAGTGTATTTTGTACCAACATAACGATGCATAGAGCTTACGTATGGGTTAATGTGTTCGACACACTTGGTTTTAGTCTGCTCAGGTGCGAGGACAGTTCCTGACCTTTATTCCCTATCTTCACCGTCCTCCATTACCGCGTCTGTCTTCTTCCAGGGTGAATTCGTGTATCCAGTACCTTCAAGCACTGACCTCACAATGTTGGCACGTTCCGGCGGAGCCACGGTCGTCTTCTGTCGTGAGCGTTGTTCCCCTCTCCGATTGGCTCGGCTCGCTATTGAGATGAATGACGCGTCACTTCCTCCAGATTGGGAACTGATAGAGTCTTCGAGGTGCACTGCCGAAGATGACCAGGACTTCGACGGTGACGATGAGGACGTTTCCACCATTAATCAAGCCGAAGTTTTATCCGCTTCTAGCGCATCTCCCCTATTGGTTATTTACAGCGCTGCGCACAATGTGAACAAGTTTAAACCCGATACGTCAATCCCCTATGCGGTCAAGGTTGTATCTCAGGCCGTGAGCATGCTCAAACCACGCAGTAACCGCGCCAATTTGTCTGACCCTCCTCTGAAGGCTGTCCCTTCCACCTGGTTGCTCGATTGCGCTGCTGAGTACTGCATTCTCCCCGAGCCACTCCATTGAGATGCAGTGCAGTGGGACTGCGTCATTATTTTTTATCCTTTACACGCCCACCTACATTGACCATTGTTCCCCGTCGTTGGTCCTATTGATCATTCCTTCTTCGTGCAAAGCTCGGCCTTAGTTCATTTCTCTATGGCATTTACCTGTGTTTAACCGGGACTCAGGAATCACAAATGACATTTCGCTGTGTTCAATACCCAACCATTGACTGAGGAATTCGACGTTCCTTCGTACTCTGTGAGTTTCTTCCTTCAACTTGTCAGTTTTTTGTATTACTCGCGTTCCTTGATCCTTCCGGCAGTCTTTGACGGTTTTTATAGATTCAGAAACTGTGGCGCATCCGGGCTTTTAGTCACCTGTGACATGTGTTACACGAGTAGACTCGCAGTTGCGACGACTACTCAATTGTTTCGCGCCGCATCATATGTATGTGCAATCACCACTACCCGATGGTGTCGCACTGTGTGCTGTATATGTATACCGCCTGTATTTGCCTTTTGTCAATATAATCCATCCGACATGATCACGTTTGGTGACTTGGAAAGATTTATTGTTTCATCCGACTGAATCTTCGAGACGTTTCGGGAACCAATTCCATTCTTCTCGTGGTTGATTGATTGCGGATACGAGGTGCAAATTCGCAAACTGCTTTGATTTGACCGATATCAGAGTTGTGCCAATGTTCTCTCCTTGAATCAAAGTTAAAGGCGGGGACCCTCGAACAACTCACTCTCTGAATTGTCAGAGATGCAATATCATCCATCTACGGGATTCTAGTACCACTGCCTTTTTCACTTCTCTTGTTTTACGCAAACTCTTCCGATTCGCTGTAAGGCCGAAACGCATCTGTTCCACTTGTCGAGACTCCCGTCACCAAAATACTGATAATCCACATGACTGGGGAAATTAAAGCTGGCAATCAGATTCGAAACCGAATGCAGAGCTCTTTGACTTTCCCATGTATTGTTATGTCTTTTATCGTTGATGTGACTTATCCCAAGTTCTCTAATCAGAAATATATCATATATCAGCCTGATATAGTCTTTCGGCCGACTTCTTTACCTTTCCATGCGACATTATCCACAGGCCACCTAGGAACCATAACAGTGATACACGCCAAGATAAGCGTTTAACGAGCATTCGCCCTATGACCAGTCAACCAGTCCATTTCCAAACAAGCGGACGAAGTCAGTTCACCCGTTTCTATTTGGCGCCTTCGATTCTCGATAAGACTAGCATGATTAAACGCACGCACTTCCTTGTAAATCCGCCAACAGGCCCCACTTTCCCGAACACGAGACCCTGCCGATCGATATCTGCTGCTCATCGGAAACCTGCCGTCAAGACCATCTCTGTGCTCAACCAACGATGCCCCACATATTGTACGCGTACAACGCTACAACAAAGCCATACCTCATGTGTGACAGTGGTGGCACTTTCACATTGAGTTGATCCGGAGATGACAGTTTCAAACGCTAGTGGAGCGGGTGTGCGCATTGCTCAAAGCTTCCAGGATAAAACTGTCCTGATAGACTGGATCCCAGCCGGTAGCCGGGTGTGCGTCGTTCGACTGGCTGCCTCGTCCAATGCTTCGAGCTAGTGCGGTGCCAATTAGTGCTTATTTTTCATTACTTCCTACACCCCACAAACTGTAGCGCTGACTCGGTGAAAGATGAATCCTATCGTCAACCGAACGAGCTCCTTCATCCCAACAGACTTAAGGATACTGTAATCCTGGATGGTGATCTGAACATTCAAGTTGGAAAGCTGTCCATTGATGAGCTGCATCTGGACGACCAACACCGTGTACGCTCCCGTAATGATAGTGGTGAGTGGTTGCTACACCTGTGTGAAGTTGCTCGTCTATTTCTCACGAGGACTAACTTCCGTCACAGGGTTACATGGTACCCACTAGCCTCGGACTATCCATGGACGCAAATCCATCACATCGCGATCTGGTATCACAGGAGAGGTTGCGTCCGAGATTGCTGTTTGATTTGGAGCACAAGCGTGAACTCCGACCAGACACTACTATGTGCGGGTCTTCGAGTGAGATTTGGCGGACGCCCACGACGACGCAATGAGCGCAGCTTCTGGACGCTCAGCGACGCATTGCGACTGGGAGGGAACACAGCGATCTTTGCAAAAATATGAGGGCAAAATTTCGGGTCAGTCTGGAAGGAGACTGTGAAACCTGGTGATTGCACCTTGCTTCGGCGATGCAAGCAGCGATTCCTCTGGGTTATTCCGTCTGATGCGGGAGACAGGTTGTAGGAGACCTGATGTCAGCGAGACTATATGTGATGAGAGGGGACAGTACATCCACAACTTGTCAAAACGCTTTTTCTGTTGTGCTAAACACCATACTAAACAATTTAATTGGTCGGTGATACCAGATACACTACCGGACAAGGATCGCCCTGTTCCTTGGACTGTCGATCGTCAGATCAGACTTGTGAAACTGTATAAGGCCACAGGACTTGATGGGCTTCCTCCGATCCTCTTCATTTCGTCAGCTCAGCTATCATGGCCGATTTACGGGATCCGTTAGTCAGACCGCAGCAGCAAGAAATTTCCAACAGACTGGAGCCTCTCCGTTATAAGCTCAATCTCCAAGGCTGGCTCATGTTGGGAATGCGGCACTTATAGCGGGGTCACCTCCAACTTGCTTGTTTGTGTCGTTCTGGCAGCCGTGATAGCCAGACAGGTGGAGATCAAGCAGTGTTTCATCGAAATAGAGGATGTATTGATCACAAATTTAATTTGCGCCAGTTACTGGAGCACCGACACTTACATTGTCAAGCCACCATAGTTGTTTTCCTCGACATCAAAGATGCCTTCGATTTGTTGGATCAATATGCTCCTTGGGATTGTTTCATCAGGAAAGATATGCTCGAGAAATACGTGAACATCCTCAGAGCGCCTCACTCGAATATTTCAAACAGGGTGTAAGCTTACGGCAGACTGTTACCGCTCCCAAATATCCTCAGCAGTGTGAGGCAGGGATGCCCTCTGTCATCCTTAGTTTTCACTCCTCCACTGACGAAGTTATGGAAAATGTCTTCATTTGGCTCAACTTAGCAGATGTGGAGCTGCCTCAGGGTCATCGACTTTACTTTGATTATGATTGTTAGTTTTCCGAAATCTATATTTGCTCAAAATCGTACCAATGAATACTGGATGGGTTCGCAATGTCCTTCCGCTCTTTCATGCTCTGCTTTGGACCCTCCAAAAGCACGTGTAGCAGGGCCATCCTTTGCATTCATCCTTGTTATAGGCCGGTTGGACGTCATCTGAAAATTCTGCTAAGCTAGTGGAATGGTAGAACGAATCACGAACCGCGTAGCAAACTTCTTGGGTGCTCTTGCCAAACTTCGCGACTTGTGGTGGCTGCGCGATGTCACTCTTCCTGGATGGTGAATTCTACAGTGTTGCCATCCATTCGACCGTTTTTTGCGATTATGAAACCTTGCCTATAAGAACGACATACATAAAGAGGCCAGTTGCATCCGACAATCGCTGGCCTCACATTTCAGCTGATGTCGTGGCACAGCGCGTTTGTAATGCGGGTATTTGGCGTGTTTTCTGGCACATTAAGAGGAAGGGAACCGCTTAGCACCGATATTTTTCGCATTAGGCTTTGATAGCTTTATGTTGTATTACGCACGCTAGCGCACCGAATCGTGCGGCGTGCGTTGTTTGCGCGACCTGGGTCTGGTCGAAGTAAGGGAGGAAGGGAGCCCGAGTGCTAATTTTGTCAAGAGGAATGAAGACTGTCACTTGGAAGTTGGCCTCGGTTAGGGTCCCTCGACTTTTTTGTTGCGGTCCGAAGGATGATCTATACGTTTGCTGAGATACGCTTGTTGACATGACCTAAGCTTGCTTTAGCTACTTTGTGTGCATATTGCTTCTAGTTATGTTACGCTATCGCAATTAGGTTGGAATGCTTTTGCGCGGATAAAGCCTTCCGGTTTTGTCCTGCCCACTCGGGCGTACTTCGATTCACCACATTTTACTACTATGCGGAATCATTTTCGATGACGGTTGTGGTAACTGAACACAGCACTTACCCGCCCACTTGAGATGGAGGATGAATTTTCCTTTTCATTGTCCCTGTCGCGCGCTTTACCTCGGTGATCATAGGTTGATTCGCCACAGGTAGAACACACGCACGTGCTGTTCTGTGACTTTATCAATCGGCACTGTTTCGTGCTGGGTTAGGCTTTTAGCGTACCTTGTGGTGGGTGGATGTCAGCGATGGGTGAATACAATCAGAAACCACAGATTAAATCGCAGCTCCCTTTTTGGTCATGTAGAGGTCATTCTGGGATCGCCGGATAGCACGATTACGCAGCTGTAAGGGTTGTTGTCACATGCGTGTGTGAGCCTGAGACGCAGAAATCAATATCCGTAGAGAGTAATTCCGTACAAATGTCCTCATTGTATACGGATAGTTAATCGGACCCGAATGAGTGTACGGCGAGTGCGCTGGTTGAGGATAGTGTAACTCCGTGAGAGAGAGGAGCACCTTGACTGCGACCGTTTCGTGTGCTGCGATAGGAATTCCGTAGATGGGAAGAAGGTACTGAATCGAGGAAAAATCAGATAATTCTTCCAAAAGAACTCATCGTTGCACCTGACACTGGCGCGTACGTTGGGTCCATTTCATCTATACCGAACATTCAACTACATTTATAACATCCCGTATAAAGTGTACGCATGTCTGTGTATAGGCCGAATACGAGGGAACTATGTACGGAAATTTCAGTACGTGGTGGGCGTGTCATGGCCATCTAGCCAATTAGCCTGAATGCCGAGAGAGAGAGAGAGAGATTCGGTGTTAGCGGCGCATGCGCTAGACAAAGGGCGCGAAACCGAACCTGAAAATGTTGAGCTCATCAAGAGCGGGTTGCTGCAAATACCATAAAGACTAATTACGGAAGCGATGGAAATCGCCCAAACCGACGATTGCGTGGATAGTAGATGAAGTAAGGCTGTCGAATGCTTAGCGTCTAGTTCCAATTCGGTCAGTATGATAACCTACAGCGGATGGATCCGGATTTACGATGGATTGTCACCCCTTCACCCACTGCCAAGATCTCATGTATGGGAGGGAGTTTCCCTCAATCATCTAATCAACGTCCCATCACTGCCTCTTAAGATGACAGGTCGACATTCACTTGTACTTGCCATTTCATCGACACCACTTCACCGCGAGTTTTGTCCACCTTCGCTTTAACATATCATCCCACCCAAAGAATCCTTTGTGTAAAAGGCCATATGCTGCCCAGTAAATACACTAACCGATTTTTGTTGGGTTTCTGATTAGCCAAGATAAGTCTGAATTCCGACACGCGACCTCATTTGGGTTCACGATCTATTTTGCAGTGAATTTCTGCCATTTCGATCACTGGGACCGAAGTGAGTGGTTCTGGTGTGGCTTTCCCATCACTACACTCTACGACCGACGTTTTCGTCCTTGTTTGCATTCATCACGTAGAGATGGCCTGAATTTGGAGTGGAACTCGGTACATAGTGGTTGGCGGTTATCGCCATGATCCCTAGGCCATTGAGCTCCGCGAGC